GTTGCTGCATCTTGAACAACCCACACTGATCTGAACAGAAACATGAAATGTTTTTATAGATATAAGAAATGAATTGAAAGTGAAAGTAAAAATGAAATTGTATTGGCTGGAAATATTTCTTGGCTGTTGAATGGGAAAAAATATTCCAGAGCTGAAAAAAAAAAAAAAAAACTCTTCCTTTTTTTCTATTAATTTGATGTCTTCACTTCTTCACTTTGTTTACTTTGGAATGTCCTAGAATGAGTCATGGTCTATTTTTAGAAACAGTGAGACAACATTCCCACACAAAAGGGGGGGGTTAATTTTTATCATGTCTAGAAGACATGATAAAAATTAACAAAAAGTTTTTTTTTTTTTTTTTTTTTTTTACATCTCAGATTTTTTTTTTCTGAGCTCTGAAAATTTTTTCCCAGTCGGCAACCAAGTGAAAAATTTCCAATCGGCTTTTACTTTCACTTTCAACTCTTTTCTATAAAAGTATTCCACGTTTTCTGTTCAGAACCGTGTGGGCTCTCATGGTGCAACATGCTTGTTTCTCTCTCTACCTCATCTGCAGCTCTATGACAGCTAACACGCTTGAGCTTTAAAAATGTATGAAAGAAGTTATTTTTAATCCATTTCAGCGATTGAGTGGGCTGGGAAAAAAAGGCCCTTTCCATGACAGCTAACACGCTTGAGCTTTAAAAATGTATGAAAGAATTTATTTTTAATCCATTTCAGCGATTGAGTGGACTGGGAAACATTTTCTTAGAGCTCAGGGGAAAAAAAAGGCTCTTTCCATGAGAACTAACACGCTTAAGCTTTAAAAATGTATGAAAGAATTTATTTTTAATCCATTTCAGCGATTGAGTGGACTGGGAAACATTTTCTTAGAGCTCAGGGGAAAAAAGGCTCTTTCCATGAGAACTAACACGCTTAAGCTTTAAAAATGTATGAAAGAATTTATTTTTAATCCATTTCAGCGATTGAGTGGGGGGAAAAAAAAAAAGGCTTTCCATGACAGCTAACACGCTTGAGCTTTAAAAATGTATGAAAGGATTTTTTTTTAATCCATTTCAGCGATTGAGTCTGCTGGGAAACATTTTCTTAGAGCTCAGGGGAAAAAAAGGCTCTTTCCATGACAGCTAACACGCTTGAGCTTTAAAAATGTATGAAAGAATTTATTTTTAATCCATTTCAGCGATTGAGTCTGCTGGGAAACATTTTCTTAGAGCTCAGGGAAAAAAAAGGCTCTTTGCATGACAGCTAACACGCTTGAGCTTTAAAATGTATGAAAGAATTTATTTTTAATCCATTTCAGCGATTGAGTCTGCTGGGAAACATTTTCTTAGAGCTCAGGGGAAAAAAAGGCTCTTTCCATGACAGCTAACACTCTTGAGCTTTAAAAATGTATGAAAGAATTTATTTTTAATCCATTTCAGCGATTGAGTCTGCTGGGAACATTTTCTTAGAGCTCAGGGGAAAAAAAGGCTCTTTCCATGACAGCTAACACTCTTGAGCTTTAAAAATGTATGAAAGAATTTATTTTTAATCCATTTCAGCGATTGAGTCTGCTGGGAAACATTTTCTTAGAGCTCAGGAAAAAAAAAGGCTCTTTCCATGACACCTAACACTCTTGAGCTTTAAAAATGTATGAAAGAATTTATTTTTAATCCATTTCAGCGATTGAGTCTGCTGGGAAACATTTTCTTAGAGCTCAGGGAAAAAAAAAAAGGTTCTTTCCATGACACCTAACACTCTTGAGCTTTAAAAATGTATGAAAGAATTTTTTTTAATCCATTTCAGCGATTGAGTGGGCTGGGAAACATTTTCTTAGAGCTCAGGGAATGTGTCTCCAGGTTGAATGCACAGCACACACGGATGGGAAGTCGAAACTCGAGTGGCTTAAAAAATAAATATACGAAAGTTGGGTTATCGAGCTGACTAGGAAAAATTTTCAGAGTTCTGGAAATAATTCTGAGTTCAAGCATGGGACATGAGAACCGAAATGTATTACAATCATCATGTCATCATTGTTTTCGAAAGCCAAAAGAATTCCTCATGAAAGAACATCTTTTTTTCCTGGTTGTGGGATGGAGTAGAGTTGCTGCATCTTGAACAACCCACACTGATCTGAACAGAAAAATGAAATGTTCTTATAGATATAAGAAATGAATTGAAAGTGAAAGTAAAAATGAAATTGTATTGGCTGGAAATATTTCTTGGCTGTTGAATTGGGAAAAATATTTCCAGAGCTATAAAAAAAAAAAAAAAAAAAAAATCTTCCTTTTTTTCTATTAATTTGATGTCTTCACTTTGTTTACTTTGGAATGGAGAAACCCAAAGACTTTTTAAAACATATCCTTTTTAAAAACTTATCTTATCTTATAAACTTTAAACTCATCCTTTTTAAAATATAATTCCTAGAATGAGTCATGGTCTATTTTTAGAAACAGTGAGAGACAACATTCCCACACAAAAGGGGGGTAGGGTTAATTTTTATCATGTCTAGAAGACATGATAAAAATTAACAAAAAGTTTTTTTTTTTTTTTTTTTTTTTTTTACATCTCAGAATTTTTTTTCTGAGCTCTGAAAATTTTTTCCCAGTCGGCAACCAATTGAAAAATTTCCAATCGGCTTTTACTTTCACTTTCAACTCTTTTCTATAAAAGCATTCCACGTTTTCTGTTCAGAACCGTGCGGGCTCTCCATGGTGCAACATGCTTTTTCTCTCTCTACCTCATCTGCAGCTAGGATGTTTTTCCTTCTTCAAGAAGTGGAATTCTTTGGGAATACCTTACAATTTCACGAGCTAGCTGTTTCTTATATTTCGAGGAGATTTCAATGAAATTGTTTATAGATGTCACCTATTGCAGATGGGGAAAAAGTCTATACTGGATCGCTGGAGACATCTCATCCAGATAGGTCACGTTATATGTTTTTCCCACACCTAAATAAAATTGGACATGAGCCATCCTTTTGTTTTCTCATTCAACAAAGATAGACACTGCAGACCGTTTTGGGTTTTCACTCTTCGCGAACCGAGACGAGCCGCAGCCACACTTTGCGTTTTCTATGAGCGCAATAATGGATCACGTGAGCAGCCATTTTGTTTCCCATCTCACCCAGATAGGTCATGTTGTATTTTGTTTCATGCACCTAGCCAATTTTGGACATGAGCCATCCTTTTGTTTTTTTTTGTCTATCGAACCAAGATGGACTCTGGAGACAATTTTGTTTCTCAACGGAAAAGTAAATTTTCTGAATGGGTACCGGTGTTCGAATACTTTGTGACTGTACATGTGAGACCGAGCTTGTACGGGTTTTCTTCTAACTGTGTCTGTGCTTATAACAGTTCGACGACTGTAAACGTGATTTTGGAGCTGCTCTGATTAATACTGGCCAATAAAGTTGGTTTCAATACTTCATCAAGTAGTATTGTTAATATTCATTCCAAATCCTCACGAACCCCGTACGAACGTGAAGGAAGAAAATAACGGAACAATATATTATTGTACTTTATTGTTTTATTCGTCTAAAGTTGTTATTTATATGAATAATGTTAAGAGAGATTTTATTTCCTTTATGATTTGGGATAACATATTTTTTGCCTTGAATAATTAGTTAACTTAAGTAACAATGACAATGATGCAGGTGGCAAAGTTTCAAAGCCTCTTCAATCAGCACCTAATGAAAAATCTAATAGGCGAACCCGAAAGTTTGGTATAACATTTTTAACTTGATTTTACTTTTAACAATCGTTATGTCTGTTAGCCAAAAATACAATCCTGCTACAAAATAAGCAACAAAGGAAAAACACGGAATAAAACAAAAGCTGCAATAACAATTAAGGCCTTTAAAAAAATTGATGTTTTCTGGCATATTTCACAAGGAGGTTAGAATAGAAGGAGGGAGGGTTCGCAGTTTCCTCCACTATCGGGGAATGAAACTCCGCCGAACAAGCGGCGTCCATGTTTGTGACTTCAAAACATTGCATTACGGCAGTGACATGTACGTGTTTCTAAGCTGTTCCGTGCATTTATTTTCCAGTAAAAATATGTTAAATTTATAATGAAATCCCTCGCTATTGTTGAATTTTTTTGTTTTAAAGTAATAAAGATGATATCCATAATTTACTATGTACAGCAAATTATTAAGAAATAGTTCGAAATCTAAATGCATGCGCATAACATTAAAGCCTTTAAAAAATGATGTTTCTGTTTCTGCATATTTCACGAATTTGCTTAGGTTAGAAAATAAATCTTAATAAAATAAAACAGATTTATGTGAATTCATTGATTTCAGTTTATGCGCATTTCATATTTATTAATCTCAAAGAAACTGCCTTTAATTAAGTTGAATTACAGAAATACACCTATATAAGTTTTTGGATACATCTTTCCACATGTTCAATTGTGTAAATATTTTACTTAATTTTATCACTATACTGCCCAGAAATTTGTAAGTTTATGCAAAAAATTTTTAACAACAGAACAGTTTATCTTAACTTAAAAAAATGAATAATAATTAATATATAAAGAAAAGCATTGCTTTATTTAACACCTTTACAATTAATAAAAATAGTAACAATTGATTTCTTACTTTTCATGAAAGTTATAAAACGAATTAACTAAAACGTTCAAATTATACAATTTAAATCCTACCATATAGCATTGTATCTTAAGGAACGAAGATACCAGCTATAAACAGAAACATTAAAATGTATTTAATATATTTTGATTATAGTTATATTAAATAACCTATTTTAAGTCCTTTTTTTTCACATCTGGAAAGAAAACCACATGACATTGTGATATTTTTTGACATAGTTGTCATATTATATAAAAAAGAAAATTAATACTTACGTGTGAAAAATAATGCCCGGAATTTTTTTCGAGAATCTATTTGTGCATCCATATGCAATACAAGCTGACATGCTTCAAAAAGAAAAGAAAAAAATGTTGCAATGACAGACTTCCTTGCACAAGTCACGGTGATAACAGGAAGATGGCCGCCAAGCTTCACCGTTTGAGTTGAACCTTCCCTCCTTCTATTCTAACCTCCTTGTTTGTGCTACAGTATTTCCCATAACGAAAGAGTAGGTAACAAGCCAAAAGTGTTTGAGAATTCCTCGAGTAGCCATGCGCGCTCTAGCAGACGACGCCTTGCTTCGTTGACCTAACTTGGATGTTCACTATAAACCATGTGAATGTTGTTTACGCTATTTACTTTTGATTGATAAGGAATTTGGAAACTCCTACGTATGAAACTGCAATTCTAAAAGCAGTAAGTTTCCTTTTATCATCATAAAAAATAGTTTTTTTTTTTTGTTATAGCTTAGTTTTTTTTGTCGTGTTTACCAATAAATTGTGAAAATAAAATATCTGCAGAACATTAGTTAAAAGACTTGTCGTATATCTTTGCCAAAAGCTAAATTACATGCAATATAATGTTATGAAGATAAAATATAAACATGCTTTAGTAAGCTAAATGTGATTTCTGCAAAGATTTAATGCAAAATTAATTGTTAGTAAGAAATGAATACAATTTCATTATTCATATTAATGATGTATTTCATTCCTTAAGGATATGACTACTATACTACCTCCAAAATCTTTACTGAAAAATCTGCACATCCCCGAAAGATTGTTGTTGGGGCCTGGCCCATCAAATTGCCCTTCATCAGTTTTAAAGGCATCAGCCCAGCAAATGCTAGGTCATTTAGATGAAGACTTCTTAAAAGTAAGATTTTAAAGTGTGCCATTTTTTTTTTATTTGTGATAACTATGAAACATTATGATTTAGTTGGCTCATATTTAAGTAAATTAGGGGGGGAATTTTATTTCTGCACTGTTCTGTAGCTTTTAATTACTGTATGTAAAATATTTTGTATATTTTATATTTTGTATATTTTACTGAAAACAATTAAAAAGTGCTCATAATTATTTAGGAAGAGTGTGATTAATGTATTCCAGTGTCATTTTGTAATTTAAATAGATGTCTTAGTTACTAAATTCATACTCTTGATCTGTTTTATATACTTATCAGCATCTTAATTAATTATTAATCTTCATACTGAAAGGATTATAGAACTACAGCTCTGGTCAGTACATTCTTTATATTCTTATATTGCAGTTCTTTGTACATAAAATTTGTTCAATAATAGTGTATGTTTTTTGCATGGAAAAAACTTCAGGTACTTATTATCAACTACAGTTTTTCGATGATATTAACAATAAATTACAAATCCCTGACATTTTGAATTTATTTGTTCAAATATGAATTATGGAAGTAAATGTAAAATATTCTTGAAAACATATTAGTTGCTTTGCATTTAAATTACACACTTAGTTATAATATATATATATATAACTTTTTACATGCTAGTTATACTTTTGGCAGAAGAAACAGATGTTCTACTTTAGACTAAGAAAGAGAAACTTTCTGAATTTGTAATAACTTAGAAGAGCTGGTGGCATAGTAGTAGATCAGTGCATAAAGAAGCAGAAACTTGACGATGTGGCCGAATTTTAATTCATTCCTTTTTATTCGTGGTTGACATACATTTTTCAATAAACCAACACATGTTAAATGGGTATTATAGCTCCCTGTTATTAAAGAATTTTGACATTGGTACCATATAGGCTTGTAAAATGTATTTTTTGAAGATAGCAGGTAGCAGCATGTTGCAACAGCGAAGCAAAGTAAAAAAAGTGACAGTTATTCAACATTGAGGCTTTATTTAAAAGAAGGGTTTCGGTTTGGAATTGAAATCCTATTCAGGAATTGGATAAAAGTTATCTGCATATGTTATGTAAGAACTTACATCTGTGTTATGTAAGAATGGCTAATCTTTGGAATATGGTAACAGGTAGTTTGGCGACATTTTGGTAAGGCGATAAAGGTTACTAGCTAGGACTTTAGCAATAATCTGAGAAGTACACAGTTCGAATCACAGATTATTTGTCTCGGAGAAATGAGAGATCATGAAACATATTATGTGACATTTTCCGGAAAATTCCAATCGGGATTTTAGCTAGAAAGCACTTAGAAACAATTTCGCTGCTAAAGTGCAGAATCGCCCACTTATTTGTTTGGCGCTTTTTACAAGAGTAAGAAGAATTGGATTTTTGTCAATTTTCTTTGACTTTTTAAGTGAAAATAGGGCGATGTGTACATGGATAAAGTCAAGAGTGTGCACAATGCCATTTTTGTGCAATTCTGGGATGTTTTTTTAAGTGAAAATAGGTCAACGTGTACATGGATACCGTGTATATGCAATTCGTAAAAACGCACCAAGCAGTGGACGATTCTACACTTTCTCCCAATTTCGCACCTAATCTTCGTCATGATCAAGCACTTTTGTTCCATAAAAGTTCTAGCATAAGCGTAATTTGGATAGCAGATTGTTGGAAAAAATGTTGAGTAAAATAAAAAAAAAATGCCTTTACTTCGTGAAAACAAAGTGGCGTCTAAAAAAAAAAAAAAAGTAGCAGGTTGCTACAGCAGGGTTGGTCGCCAAAAAATCGCCAAGTTACCATAATCCGAAGATTCACTGTAAGAACTTATGATGCAGATTAATTTTGAAGTCATGCTTCTTAAACTAATATATTATAAATAGTTACTATTTTTAGGAAAGGTAAGGGAAGTACCTAATTAAGACACAATAACATGCCGAATAAATATTAATTCAGAAGTCAAACAACAAAAGTTTTCCGTGCTCTTCAAGTTTGCTCCTCCAAAATAGCCCTTGATGAAGAACTAAATTATTTAAAAGCAATAGCTATTGACAGGGGCTTTCCACCCAACATTATTAATCAAGCAGTTAAAAAATTCTCATCTCAACACACTAAAAGGCACACTCTTGTTTTAGGAGATTATAAAAATTCTGTTGTCATTCCCTTCTTTCCATCAATTAGCTATAAAGTTGCACATATTTTGCAGAAATTTAACTTTCGGGTTGTTTATTCTCCCATCAATAAAATTCCGAGTTCCATACTCAAGGACCGCATTTAGGATATGAATTCCTGGGGTATTTATAGGATTCCTTGCCAGTGTGGTTTAATTTACATTGGCCAAACTAAGAGAGCCTTAAAATTTCGCGTCAAGGAACATGAGGCATATGTTGCTCAACATTGTTGGTCCGAAAGCCACACTTTCAGTTTTTCTGCTGCCAAAATTATTCAAAAAACATCTTCCATTGGAGAACTGGATTTTCTAGAAGCATTTCACATTCATAAAAATCTTTCTGTTCTAGTTAACGATCCTAATTCCAATCCAAATTTGCCTTCGGCCTTTAAAGAAATTATGTTTTAGTTTTGGTTTCACCAACAGATGGCGCCACTTGCTTATTCTTGTCCAGGCTTTCTTATCTTATCCAAGGCCAACTTATACTCAAGGCCTGCCAGTGTGAAAATATTCTTTTGTGTTTTCGGTTGCCTGAGTGATATTCCTACTGATCGCAAGATGGCGCTACAATTCTGCTACACTTTGCGATGTTTACAAAGATCGGAAAAGTACCAAAAACAACTTCTGTCTTGTTATATGCAAAGTTTAAAAACGATTAATCCATAGTAGTCAGAAATTGTTGATTTCTTATTAGTAAAATAATTTTAATTAGAAGGAAAGCATGGAATTTTAAGCTATCTCACTTTTTTTCACACATAAACACCAGCTATTTGATCTCGATTTTAATTCCTGCTTTCATCTAGACATGCGCTATTCTGGAATTGTACGCATTACAACTACTTTATTCTAATTTAAAGGTAATTCAGAGTATACACCTTATTTTTTAATTATTTATATAGTAAGAAGTTAACAGATAGCTTCAGATCATGTACTATTTCAGTGAAAAATTTTCAAAATATTTCTGTCGGCTGTACTGGGCCGAAAAATAATTTAGTATCCCCTATCAAAGATGTAATTAACATATTAATATACCGTGATCTAAAATTTGTATATCTGTTTCCACGACATTGGTGTAAAAATATTACTTAAAGAGATTAAATTTTACATACTGAAGAATTTTTTTTTAATTATTAAATACCTGTTTTTAGGAAATCTTAAACAATAAAAGTTTAAATAATGCAGATTTTGATCTCTGTGAAGTATTTGCATTGCAGATATTCAAAGACATTATAAAATTATTAGTCCAAAAAAAAAAAGGGGGGGGGGGGGTCTTACTGTGGCATAGATTTTGAATGAAACTCAAACACAAGCCAAAGTTGCTTTTTTGACTAATTTTAATATTACACAGGTGTGTTTCTCTTCACTTTCATTTGTATTCTAAATTTCATTGATGTTAACATTAAGAAACTAGTAACTGAATTAAGTGCACTTGCATCAATTTACATTTTCAGTGTTAGAGAAACTTCAATTTTCAAATGAAAATAATGACATTTTTGATAAAGCTATTGATCAAATCAATCTGTTTGTTATAAATAAAGAGACACAGGCATTATAAAATATATTTTAACAGCACACAAAAAAATAATAACTCTCATAATCACAATATATATACTTAAGAAAAGTTCAGTTCTGTATATCAAGGATAAAATTTGAAAACTTGCAATGGCTGAATATAAATAATATATCCATCACACATGCCCACAATGCTAAGTAGAATGAGGTATATACACAATTTTAGATATATATGCATTTAAAGTTAGGCAAAAAAACAAGCTTATTAAATGCATCTCTTAAATATACAGCAGGTAGACATTTTTACACACATACAACATTTATCAGAATGACATGTGTACAAAATTTTATTTACAAAATTTATTTATTTACATGCTGGCAGCGTGAGAAACTGATATAGTTCATTATCAAGAATAATGTATACATGAAATAAAATTACTGAATTTCACAAAACAATATTATCACTATTAAACACACATACACATGAGTGCCATCTTGATACATTACCTACATGACATAAATCCATGTGTAGCATTCCCATTCCAGATTAATCAGAAGATGATTAATAGTATAATAATAAGTTCCACACAAAGTTTTGAAAATAACAGCATTAGATGCAGAAAGATTTCAGAATTAAATAAGCAGAATGAGCAATTTCAGAACTGAGTTCGATGAGGTATATACACAATTTTAAACCTATATGCATATAAAGCAAGCTTATTAAGTATAGCTCTTAAATATACAGCAGCTAGACATTTTTTACACATATACAACATTAATCAGAATGACATGTGTACAAAATTTTATGGCTGGCAGCGTGAGATACTGATATAGTTCATTATCAAGAATAATGTATACATGAAATAAAATTACTGAATTTCACAAAACAATATTATCACTATTAAGCACACATATACAAGAGTGCCATCTTGATACATTACCTACATGTAACTAGCTGACATAAATCCATGTGTGTTATTCCCATTCCAGATTAATCAGAAGAAAGTTACAAACAAAGTTTTGAAAATAACAGCATTAGATGCACAAAGATTTCAGAATTAAATAAGCAGAATGAGGAATTTCAGAACTGAGTTCAATGATGTATATACACAATTTTACTTATATGCATATAAAGTTACGCCAAAAACCCAAGCTCGTTAAGTATAACCTTTAAATATACAGCAGCTAGCCATAAAATACACTTTTTGTTAATAACGAACCACGTTACAAATAGTGAGCGTATAGCAAAATTGTAGCAGAATGCGAGCGCCACCTAGTGATGAATTTTGCGAAAGCCACTGAAAACTGGGAACCGGAATTTC